AAAACAAAACAAAACAAAACAAAACAAAACAAAACAAAACAAAAACCAGAACAATATTGTTTACTGCTATTATGGAGAGTTTTCACTCACGTGTCCAGCAGCCATGCAAACATATTGGAACAGAAGAGTGTTTACATAAGAAAACAGTTGAACTCCCACAGGATTGGTTTGGTACACCAACATGGCCACCAATTCATTGTTTTGGGACAAAAATATATATGGCTGCTGTGATGTCATGTGAAAACACTTTTTTTTTCAGAATGCTCCCAAGAAAAAATTAAGCACATAAATATACAAACAAACAAACAAACAAACAAAAGCTTGCTTACTGTTTACAGAGTATTGTGAAGTTTAAAACAGTCCACAGTCCTTGAGGTTGTTCTTGATAATAACATCTGTGACAGCATCAAACACAAACTGGATGTTGTTTGTGTCTGTGGCACAAGTGAAGTGGGTGTAGATCTCTTTTGTGTCTTTTCTCTTGTTGAGGTTTTCAAACTGGAGCTGAATGTAAGCAGCGGCTTCCTCGTATGTGTTTGAACCTAAGGTTAATTACAGGGATTTGTAAATGATCATTACAACAACTTGACATAATATGCAAGAAACTACATGCACTATATAAAAGCTCTTTAAACATCACAATAAATATAACTAAAACTTTCCTAACTAAAATTTCCAATAGCATTGGATATAAACAGTTCTTAAGAAAAACATAGCAACAGACTTTTACATGTACATGTGGAAAACACAACATGCTTGACAGTGATTGCCTAATATTCTGTAAACAACACCCTGATTGTAAGTGAATTTTTAAAAGATCATATAATTATTTGAAATGCAGAGAAAGATATGAAGGCATCAATGATCATGGCAGTAAAATATACAACTTAAGTAGCTGCGAAATTAAAGCCTAAAAAAACATTCAGGCTTGAACAGTATGCAAACCGAAGACCGCTGCATCAGTATTGTAGAGGCCATGGGTTCGAATTCTGTTCAAGCCAGATTTTCTTTCAGGTGCTTCTTAAGTTGTGTACATATACACCGTAACTTGGATGATCACTGACGTCTTCATGACATCCTGATTGTTGTTCCCAATGTTCAAGGAAATGACTGTTTCTTGTTGCCAATATGTTTACCTGTGTATTCAGGGAAGCAGATGGTCAAAGGTGACTTGGTGATTTTCTCTGCAAACAGATCTTTCTTGTTGAGGAAGAGGATAATAGATGTATCTGTAAACCACTTGTTGTTACAGATTGAGTCAAATAGCTTCATGCTCTCCATCATACGGTTCTGGAACAGAAAAAAAAAAGGAATATTATCAAACACGATATTGATCTTCGACACAAGGAAACATATTGAAACATTGGTGACAAAAATAGAAAAGAAAATTACATTTTATGCTGTGGATTATAATGCCCTATAATTTCAAAAAAGTTCCTGAACATTTAAAAAAGAATGAGAAATAGAGAAAACAAAATTTTCAGAATTTTGTGACTTGAGAAGACTTTGCTTACAGTGCCACTACTTTGACCAAGGCCATTTAAGCAAATTCTTTGCAAATTTCCCCCGGGCATTTTAAAAGTTTTAAAATAGTTGCTGATCAAAATGACCACAAATCCGTTGTAATCAGCTTGCTTACAGTGTACACCGATAATTTGTTGGAAAACTATTAATAACCTTCATGATTCTTATTTGATAAATTTCTACAAAATTTTGTCAGGCAGCCTTGGTTAAAGTAGTCGTACTGTAAGCAATCACAAAAGAGAATTGAAGTTGGAGTGGTTAGCAATTTATAACTTAGGCTCACCATTTCCTCATCTTCAGCCAGTACTAAATCATATGCACTGAGNAACCAAAATCGAAATGTGGAATCAGAGAATCGTGAACCGAACTGAACAGTCATAATAGCAATCAAGCAAGAATTTGATTAATCATTAAACCACTACATAGGACGAATACCGTTTTGTTGGCTTGCAACTAGAAAGATATTACAAGATGCACTTTCCTCTTTTCTGTATAGAGATTTGTGCTATGCGCAGTGTGAATGCAACCTCTTGAAACGATGCAGAGGGTGATGATCAACAGTGTGCAACTACACTGGTTATACATCAATTCCGCTTACTTGAAGTGAAGATCTTTAAATGTGAAGTGAGTCTCGACAATTCCAGTTGTCTTGACTCTTGTTCTGAGCACATCTTGCTCTGTTGGAACATAATCTGGTGATCCTAGTCTGTCGAGTGCATTCAGGTAACTGGAGTAAAGAGAAATTATACTAACAGTCAAGAGGTGTCCACTATAAAAATACAATTCATAGGATAAAAAAATTGGTGTGCATCAACAGGGTCTCAAAATAGGTTTATCTGAGAGTGCTGATTAGTGCAAAAAATATCCCTTACCAGTCCATGTACTTGTCTATTAGACCTTACCCCCCCCCCCCACCTTGCTAGTTGGCTACAAGACTGCCTGCTTCTAAGATGACACCAGTGCAATAAAATTAGGAAAGAAACACCCACTATTTTCAAATGAAAGACACTATGTTTCATTAATGCATGTTATGACAGTGTTAATCTACTTACTACGCTGCAGAATCATTTAGCTGATATTCTCTTGATCTTGCAAAACAGTTCTGTACTCCTGAATCATTCCATAATCTCTTCATAATAGATACAAGTTCTGGTGTGAACTTAACATCCTCCATGCTACCAGCTAAAGCAAAAAGCTCTCTGGCATCATCCTGCAAAACACCAAAGCTTAAACCCTAAGAAACACTTGTAAAATACAATTAAAAGCCTATAATATCACATTTAGTTACTTATACTTAAATCATTGCTGCTAAAGACTGGTTTCCGCTAGCCTGCGAGTAAGCTCACGTTGGAGCACAAGCGCACATTGTGCAGTACCAGAAAATATCCATACTCTCTCCACAGAAGGGATTGAAATTTCCTGGGGG